CCCCCCCCCCCCCCCCCCCCATCTCTCTGATCTGCTACAACCGTATGTCCCACCACGTTCCCTGAGGTCAGCGGACCAGTTGCTCCTCACAGTTCCAGGAACTCGTCTTAAGCGCAGAGGTGACAGGGCCTTCTCCGTAGCAGGACCAAGACTTTGGAACGAGTTACCTCTGCTTGTCAGACAGGCCCCCTCCCTCTCGGTTTTCAAGTCCCGTTTAAAAACTCACTACTATTTAGCAGCATTCAACACCAGAGGATCTGTGTTTTGATCCTGTATGCTCCACACTGGTTTGTCGTCATTATCTGCATCGTTTTTTTGTCTATATTCTGATTTACCTCATTTTGTATTTTGCTTTGTGTGTTACCTGTTGTTCTGTCTGTACAGCACTTTGGTTGGCCTTGTAGCTGTTTTAAGTGCTTTATAAATAAAGTGGTATGGTATGGTAATTCTTTAGTGACGAGGTACAGCTTGTTTACATTGAGTGCGGACCCACACTTGAGAACTGCGTATCAATATATTTTGAAAATGACTGGAGTAAAGTTTTTCAAATGGCACTGTTTTGATATATTTCTAGATATCAACTCTTTTTAGGATTAATAATTTGCAATGAGTACTTGAAAAAAAGACACAAGACTGGTTCCCTGGAAGCAAAATAGAGAAGTAGTGAATGACTCAATGATTTGCATAGTTCTATACATCTTTTTTTTTCTTATGTGTATTTAGTTCATGGAAAAGTATAAAATTATATATATATATTTTTTAAATTTACCTTTTATTTATACAGGTAGTCTTATTGAGCCACGATAACTCATTTTCAAAAGACCTGTTTAGGGAGCAGATGGGGGTTAAGGGCCTTGCTCATGGGCCCAGAGTGGGGCGAATGTGGGTGGGGGCAAGTGTGGGTGCTTCACCTACCCCACCCACAATTTTGATGTTGTTGGGGCTGGGGCGTGAACCGGCGATCTTTGGATCACAGGCCCACCTCTCTAGCCTCTGCGCCACCACTCCCCAATAATTGTCACTTCATCATCAAAGTCCATGCTCAATAATCCAGGATTATTATTGACTGTTGTTTTCAACCAGTTTGACACGACTGTCAACAAGGAAGAGGGCCGGCAATGGAGGAGGGGGCGTGCCAAAGACACCATCTTAGCACCAACATAACTGGTTTGTTCCACTTTGGAGTAAGCTGTTGGGGGAAGAATCAGTTGTGTTGTGTGTTTCCTTGACTGATGAAGCCTTCTGGATTGAAGATGAAACGTTTCAGCACAAAAAAAGAAACTGTCCAGATGACCTGACTGAAAAATGTTGGATCACTTCATCATGTTTACAAATGTATTTTTCTTGCAGCAATACAACAAAACGGAGTCATTTAAGTGGTTTACTGTAACTCTAATCAACTTGTCATCAGAAGTTATTTCAGAAGTCTAAATTTTTAACAAATGTTTTGTTTCAGTGCAAGATGAGTCACCTACGGAGATCTTTTCAGCAAGAAACAAGTGCAGAACATTAGTTCCATGGTCAATAAGTCGGAGAACTGCTTTATTCTTGTTTTCGTTCCGACTGAATCCAAACACACGCACACACAGTCATCTATTTATCTTCACGTATAAATAGATGCATATACAGAGATATACATAAATACATTTGTTGATATGCATATTCATCTTGAAATCATGCCATTACAGACTGTCCCTATTGGATGAGCGCACACAGCGATTTGAAAACACAAACACAACACACAGTTTGAACAGTTGATTTGCATGTAACGTAAACCCCACAAATCGATCAGTTTTGGAATATCCTACAAAGAAACAGCTGCGGTCGCCGCACCACAAATATACAGCAGTTGCATCTCAACAGACACACCGAGGAACCTGGTAGATCAGGAGGATCGCAATCATGCAATCATCTCTTGCCCAGCAGCAAAAATAAAACCAAATAAAAATAATATTCTCCAATTCAAATGGAAAATATATTTGTATATCTTTATATACTGTATGTATTTATAGATTTATGTACATATTCTCAGGTAAACGACTACGAACAGGAAAAGCAAATACAACAAGTGGAAAAAAGACTAACAAAATTATAAACACACGTAAAAAAAAAAAAAAACCCTCAAATAAACAAAAAAAAAGAAACTATGAATGAGAAACTGTACAAAATATTGCCGCCATGGTCTTCGTGTGATCGATAACAGCAAATGTGGAATACAAACATCAGAACCAACATGATGGAAGTGGCTCTGGAGCTTCGAGAAGCTGAACTTGGGAGTCCTGTATGACTCACTGGGAGACGACAGGAAACACAACAGTTGCTGTAAAAATCAACCCTGCAGTTACTGCGACAAACACTCACGACTTCAACACACGTCTGAATATCAGCCTGGGCTGAAACTTGCATGAAGAAAAAATAGGACTTTGCATGTTATGAGTGGTGGCACGGTGGCTCAGTTAGTAGAGCTGCGTCTCAGTGAGAAGGTCGCCAGGTCAAATCCTGACCTTTCTGGGTGGAGTTTGCACGTTCTCTCCGTGCATGCGTGATTTTTCTCCGAATACTCCGATTTCCTCCCACAGACCAAAAACAAGCAATTGTCCCTAGGTGTGACTGAGTGAATGGTTGTCTTGTTTGTCTCCATGTGTCTCTGTGATGGACCTGTCCAAGTTGTCCCCCACCTCTTCTCCACTGCTGGATTTGGGCACCAGTGACCCAAAAAGGAAGAAGCTGTTAAAGATAATGGATGGATGTTATGAGTGTTATTTGGCAACTATCACTAGTTCATGTTTAGGTCCTCTGAATGAAGTGCAAACGTTCAAACCACGAGCTGCTGGATTTCACCAACAATGTGAAGTGTTCATTTAAATACACAGGAAACAGCTATCATATGACTGCAAACACTAAGATTGAGACCATAGATACAAACGTTTGAACTGTCCGCTCTGTGGTTTTCTCACGGTGATGAGGGCGACTAACGGACACATATTTTTCTCGACTTTTAACCATTTAAATTTCAAATTTATCCCCTCAAAATTAGGGTAACACTGGAAGACACTGAAAACAATTCTAACGAGACGACGTCTGCAGACTTCTTAGTAGGACGAGAGTCGACCCTCACATGGTGTGGTGGGAAAAGTATACGCGCTGCATTTATATAACAAACATGGCGTTTCAGGAACCCAAAACACTACTTTTAAAGCTGCAATAAGGAAATTACTAAAACAAAAAACAAATCAAATTCTTTGGATGCACACTGATATGAAAAAGCTTGATTGGAAAAAAAAGTAGCAATAACAGTAAAATGTAAACACATTGTAGTATAAAGAAAATGTCTCAAAATAAACATTTACATAATAAAGAATTATTCTGCCAATTTAATAACTTTACATTTTCACTAAAGCTGCATATTTCACTTGTAGATCTGTGTGGATGACAGGTTTTGGCTCAGGTATGGTTTCCATCATTGTTCTGGAGAACCTCCAGGTGTTCTCACTGTATGATTTAAATCTGCACGTGGCCCGGTGCACCATTTGGACCCGACGTGGTGCTGGAAGGCCGAGCCACGTGCAAACTTCAACGGAGCCGTGATGCTCGAGACTGCTCTGAACGCTGTTGCTTCAGGAAGCCGAAGCCATTAGCATCAGACGTTGAATAGTGTGAACGCTCAAGAAGCATCCACATTGTGATCCATTTTTCTTCCGTACGCGTTTCAGTGCGATTCTCGTCCCGCAGTTTTCAAGCTATTTCAACAAATCATAAATCAAAACGTTCAGCTCTTTCAGTAACAATCCTGCTGTGACTTTTGGTTTTGGTGCAACTTTAGCTTTTTGAAATATTTAGCCTGTTCTGACACTTTCTTTCTCATAGAAAATGAACTCACTTTACATGCTTCAAATCTTTACATGTGTTTATAACCTTTTACTGCTCCTTTCACATTTTGTTCTGCTTTGACTTCTTTCAGCTTCCTTGTACAAATTTTAAACTTTTTTCAGCTATTTTCAGCCGTTTTTGCTTCTTTTAGATTCTTTCTGCTCATGTCACATTATTCAGCTCCTTTCAGCTAATCTCTGCAAGTTTAAGCTCATTCTGCTATTTTAGCTACTACAGTATTTTATTGTGTGCTTGTGCTAATTTCTGCATTTTTCAGATAATTTCCACTTTTTGCGCTCATTTCTGCCTCTTTCAGCCTGGACAAACGTGTTCTTTCTACTTCCTTCTACTAATTTAAGCTTCTTCTAGCCTTTTCACATTTTTAGCTAATTTCAGCTGTTTTCAAATTCAAGTTTTTCATGATTTATTCTACTTTCAGCCTTATGAACTTCTTTATGCCAATTTCAGCTATTTATGCTCCTTTAAGCTTTTTTTTCTGCTAGTTTCAGCTCTTTCTGCTTTTTCAGCTATTATTTAGCTGTTTTTATGCAAAAATTTAGTTTTTTTTTCCAGCTAATTCCACATTGAGCTCATTTCAACTCCTTCCACTTCCTTCTCGTAGTTTAACCTTATTTCTGACTTTTCAGCTATTTTCTTGGCTAATTTCACTTTCATAGCTTATTTCAGCATTTTTTAAATTTATTTAGTTAATTTACTAATTTTTGTGCTCATTTCTGCTTATTTAAACCTAATGCAGCAAATATGTGTTCTTTCTGCTTTCTTCTGTTTAGTTAGGCTTGTTCTTCCATTTCAGCTGGGTATTTTTTCCAGCAAGTTCTTCAGCAAGAAGCATTCACACTGCATTTTCACAGGAAATGCAATTTCTCTAGTTCTGTACTACAAACTGTATTTATGAGTTAAAATGTGGCAACATTGAATTTAATAATTCATCAGCGATTGTTGGAATGGTTCTTTACAGGCTGCACTAAAATTGTGAAAAAGAAAACTAAAATTTTTGTGACTTTTTAGCAGTGTAGCTGAATGCATTTAATAATTTTATATTTGTTGAAATTGAGAACAAAGGCTGTGCAGGCCCTGGAAGTTTTTATGTCAGCCAGTTTTTATTTACACATTGGCAAAGACTTTTATTTCCTGCTTTCAAAGGGACACTGTGGTCGAGTTCCCCGCTCTGGGAGCAACTTCTACTACAAATGCACTCGTTTTGGTACAGTGGAAAGAAAGCAGAGCAGTTTGCTTCAGGAGATTTACAACCAGAGACTCTCTGGTTCTGTTAGAGTAATTTTAAGGTTTGAAGGGTCCACAGGGGACTTGCGATGCCTTCGCTGACCTGAGTAGGTGTGCACTGAAATGATAAGGACAAAATACCTTCCTGGGTTTTGTGTAAAACTAATTCTGGGCTCAAAAAGCACCAGTTTGACATATTCAGACAAGACATGATGTCACTCCTCATGTTTCACTGAATTTTACTTTCAAATGTAATCTCAGTAACTGTAACTGAGAAAAGTTTTGTTGTTGTTGCAATTTTTCAATAAGTAACACTAATTTTACACTAAAGTAACACTAAAGTAACCAAAGTAACACTAAAGTAACACTAATTTTAAACAGGTTACACCCTCACACAAGTAATCTGACTATGAATGCAGGGAGAACGAGAGCTGATTGGTCCAAATGTATGTAAACAAATCAGGTTTTGAAGAGAACAAGCAGCTGCTTGTGAGTAAAGACCTCTGTGTTTAAAACTGATGATATCAAGAAAATAAGTCAAAGTGAAAATGAATCAGCGCAGTGTCTCTGCTCACATCACAGCTGCACAAACAGTGAGGAAACCTGTCAGAAGCCTGCCCAAGAACTGAAAAACGCACAGTTCGCTTGTCTCGCATACACATAAGTACTTCTTAAACTCATAATAAATTTCATTTGTGGTGGATAATAGGCAGAGATGGTTGGAACCACACATCTTTTCCATTCAGGTCACTTCTTCCTCCTGGTTTGTCTGAATCGTGGTTCAGGCAGACATCGAGCTGCTGCCACTGAGGTCTGCACGTCAGACTGATGGATCTCCTCTGCTGAGACGTCCCTGTTCTCCGTTAGAAAACAAGCTTTACTGCAGGAAAACAGACAGACATGAACAGATTTTATTACTCTCGTGGCACAAAAGCTGAGGGGAAACAACTGAGCTGGCAAATAATGAACGCATTCATGAAAATAAAAGGAGACACAGATTTGACAGCAAGCACAGGCATAAATTTAATAATGAAACCATTTGCACATTTATTTATTTTTAAATTGTTTATGGTGATTACTTATAACTCAATCCTTTGAGTCTCGGACATTTTACATTATATACCGTACATTTTTAGAGTCCGATTAGTGCAGTCGTCTCTCTGTATATCTGTTAGCAGCTGTCCTGACACCTCCTACATCTTTTAAAGGAATTTGACAAAACTTGTTTGGAAATGTCATCATGATGAGAGATTTTGCGCTGCACTCTCTCTTATTGGCATTATGACACTTGACTACTGTATTTTCCGCCGTACATGTCACACCTCCCTATAAGTCACATCAGTCCAAATATGTTTAAAAAAGTGAAAAATCCATAAATATGTCGTTTCGCCGTATTCGTGGCATCTATTATGCATCACCACTGACGCGTTGCATTTGTTATGAGTCACCGCTGACAACCTGGAAATGTGGGTCTGTGTGCCAAAATTGATGGGTTGCCAAATGGTGGACGCAGGAGTGTGCACGGGAAGACTTAAAGAAGAATTTAACAAGGTTAACGCTTAAAAAAAAATATTTGTTTGCTCAATATTATAGCAAAGGTGTGTCTCAATTGAACTTTTAATTAATAAATACACTTTAATGGTCAAATTAGCTGCATTTCGCCGGCTGCGGTGCAGCTAATTTGACGGTTGCTCCAAGCAGCGAGCAGAACGAAAGTGGAAGACTATGGCAACCTGACTGTGTCAATAATAGCTGGTGAAGACTATGGCAACCTGACTGTGTCAATAATAGCTGGTGAAGATTATGGCAACCTGATTGTGTCATTAATAGCTGGTGAAGATTCTTAGTCATCCAGGAGATGGTAAATTCAAAACAGTTCAAGACAAAAACAATAAAGTATAAAGTCAAGTATAAAAATAAAGCACAGCTGTTTTTGTCTTAAAACTTTTTTGAATTTGTTATTATAGACACTTTTACCTATTACATTATACAACGGCATGCCATACTGCTACTACTACTCTGCTGCCATTAAGTGGCTGAAAATGGTACTGTTCAATTATTTTTCAGTCAGAATGATTGAAAACAGTCATATCTCTGCCAAAAATGGGTTTATAAATATGAGAAAAAAATCCATAAATACTGTTTGTCACCTCGGCCTATAAGTCGCAGGGCATGCAAATTATGCACAAAAAAAATAAATAAATCTCGACTTATAAAGCGAAAAATATGGTATATTTTTGATATATGGTGGAATTTTTTTTTTCCAGCTCAGCTCCTCAAACACTCATAATGGGAATTAAATGAAACTTGGTGGGAAGTATTTTGATGTTGAGCAGCGGTGTAAACTGTTGGCACCTTGAGTTGCACCATTTCTTACTGGAGCTATGACGAAGCTGGAAGATTCTCAGTCATGATCAATTCAAAAAAAGTCTATACAAAAAGAACTGGACTTTATTTTGAAACAGAAGACGTTTCGCTTCTCATCTGAGGACCCAACCAACCCCTATTGTGATGAGTGATAGAGAAATCTGCATATGTAACTATCTAGCTTAGCTCAGCTTTCCAACTCGAACCCCACGCTCTGTTCTCTCCGTGCATGCGTGGGTTTTCTCCGGTTACTCCAGTTTCCTCCCACAGACCAAAAACAAGCATGTTAGACTCGTTGGTAAATCTAAATTGCCCCTAGGTGTGAATGAGAGAGCGAATGGTTGTTTGTCTCGTTTGTCTCTTTGTGTCCCTGTGATGGACTGGAGACCTGTCCAGGCGTCCCCCCACCTCTCAAACAGTGACTGCTGGATATGGACACCAGTGACCCCCACTATCCATTAAGAAAGAAATGCATAAAGGATGGATGTTTGTGATGTGATTGAGTAATGGCGGTTTAAATATGGTAACTTTTCGTTTTTAGAGTTTTTTAGTCTCAAGCAGGGCCTTGGCCTCAAATGTCACACTTAATCTGAACTTTTTCTGTTGTATTTTTGGTCTGGCACCCACTCTAGTGGGTTTTGGATATTCATATTTTCTTGTTATATCTAATTATTATCCTCAATTGCAAATGTTGCTTGTAACATTTAGATCACATAAAGAATAATGTTGACAAAAAAATCTCAGTCAAAATCCCATAAAATGTTACATTTTAATTCTAATGTTTGATGCATAGAGTAATGTTTCAGGTAATCATGAACAACACACAACTTTTGTCACAGCAAAGTGAAAATACTTTTGAAACACTTGAATATAAATATCCTGGATAAATGCTTTATAGGCTACGTCTCTGAAATTTGTTTGCATAAACATTGCATATAATCTCTCCAATAAAATATTCCTTGAAAGCAGAAATTATTCATAAATGATACCTTATAGAACTACGGCTTGCTGAAAATAAAATGTGGCTACACTAATAAAAAAAAAAGCAAAAGAAAAACTGAAAGAAAACAAAAAAGGGGGTCATAATTCTTCAATCTGACTAAATTTTAACATCTGTAATCACGCAACAGGAAGTTAAATGTTTAAATGTTAGCACTGAAATGAAACGTGCAAGGCAAACTATCCAGCCATGTTTTTTTTTTTACTCTCTTCTTCCTTTTTGGGTCATGTGGGTCACTGGTGCCCATATCCAGCAGTCACTGTGCGAGTGGCGGGGGACACCCTGGACTGGTCTCCAGTCCATCACAGGGACACAGACAAATGAGACAAACAACCATTCACTCTCTCACTCACACCTAGAGACAATTTAGAGTTACCAATCAGCCTAACATGGATGTTTTTAGTCTGTTGGACGAAACTGGAGTACCCGGAGAAAACCCACACATGCACGGAGAGAACATGCAAACTCCACCCAGAAAGGCCCCCTGCTGGGATTCAAACCAGCAACCTTCTTGCTGAGAGACAACAGCTCTACCAGCTGCACCACCCCAAAGTAAACAAGATAAACTAATTGAATTCAGTTTCTCACATTGCCAAGGACTGAAATAAATGACGGTCTACTTCTGAAATCAATTAATCAGCTTCTTGAGCAGCTTCCTGTTAGAGACGCACAGGGTGACTAGTGAAGATGCAGACATTCAGCGACCATTTCTACCCATTGATTAATAATAAATGAACACTAACGTAGGTAGGGGCTCTATGGACTCAGATGGAGCATATTCTTAAAATAATAATGGACTTTGGAACTTGTTACAACTTGATACTGAACTCATCTCTACATCTCTGCCTGATGAGTGATAACCTCAACATGAGCCGATATGACTCTTCGTCTGAGTCCTGTGCTTTATTCTTTAGCTTCTCACTTACTGTCTCTCTCTCCCAATCCCCATCGGGCGGGGCCTTAGACTCTGAGCCATAGTGTAGAGGGGAGTACACCCAAGTCCTGTCCTCTGGAGGCTGTTTTTACACACCCACCACAGCAGAGGGGGCCAAAGGGACAGGAGGAACGATGACAGGGACAGAGACAAGCAGCAGGGGTAGTCAGGAGAGAGAAAGACAGGAGAAAGGACAAGACAAGAAATGAAAATTAGGGATGCATTTAGGAAGAAATGCTTCTGAGACAAAGCAGAAAGTGACTATTTACATGCTGTAAGTGCTTTAAAGGATGTTTAAATTTGGCCAAGAGCTATAAAAGCGAACCCACAGGTGTAACTGAATGGCATTTCTTTGTGCTTTGTGACATTTGTTATGTGCAAAAGCACCGAGCCGGGAATGAGATGCTGCATCAGGCAAGTAGGTGGAACGAGGAGATGAGGAGGAGGAGATGGGAAAAGCCAGGATGCCAGCAGAGTCTGACACACAAGCATTCTCAGACACAGCAATGCAGGAAAACAAGATGTTTTTGTTGTTGTTGTTGCTAACGTGCTGTGTGCAGTCTGCAGTCTGTTTAGGCCTACTGAGGAAGAACTATTACTGTCCAGAGTCTCTTAAAGCAGCTCTTGAAGAGAGGAAGGCAGCTGCAGCACAGTGTTTGTTACTGGAAGAGATGTCAAAATCCCACTCTCACATTTAGATTTATGCACAAATCTAAGCCTGTTGCAGCTAAACCCGAGGAGCACAAAGGCACAAGATAAGATGACAGCAAGTGAGGAAACAAAAATATATATTTTAAACATTAAACTAAAAGAACGACAGGATTAAAAGGCCTTCTCTTTATTTTCCACCTGCCTCCCACACTTCACAAGGAGAAAAGGTTTTGTTTTAATTGTCAACCTCGTCATAAAAACACCAGCAGTGCAACAAAAGAAACTGAAAACACGACATGCTAGGGGGCTCCCACGACACGTTCTTAAAAACCTCGTTTCCTTTCATCGCCGTGTTCGAGTTTCATGACGAAACAAACAAAAATCTAGCACAACAGTTGTGCAGCTACAGCTGCCTCGCTCTCTGCTCACTTCTTCCTCTGTTGGACGGGACAGACCACCCAGGTCGTCCCATCTGGACATTGATAGCGTTGCAGAGATGAGGCTCAAACTACAGAGAGGGAGGTGGTGGTAAAAGTAAAACCACACAATGGGGGAAACGCGATGAGATGAAAAGGAACGATTGTTTTGACTGTGGGAAACCTCTACAGCAGGGGTCTCCTACCTTTACCATCAAAAGAGCCATTTTTACGCCTTCGTTCAAGCGTGTCCAGAGCCGCAACAACCCGCTACAACTGTGGTTATCAACTGGTGGCCCATGGGCCACTTTAGGTTTGCTGGATGGGGCGTTTGTAGCCAGTAGGGGTAAAGCAAAACATATCTAATGATTTTTAACATTTATTAAAGAAAACAACCAGATTCTTATAAAGAAGGGGGATTAAAAATTGTTTTTACCTTTTTTTAAATAAAAAAAAAAATCTATAAACTATGCAGAAAGTTCTTTGTATAAAGAAATAAAGCATCGAGTTAAAGTATGTTTTAGTCCTTGTACTCACTTGTGTTCACATATTTGCAAAAGAAATGACAGGAAAACTGTTTGAACTAATCCTTTCTTGTTGTTTGTATAACCGATAAAGTCAGTTTTATGTTAGCTTTGGTCAAAGCTTGAAAGAGGGACCAAAGAGACACATGTGGCTCCAGAGCCGAGGGTTGCAGACCCCGGCCCTACAGGGAACCACTTGATGAGTGGTGACGGATGGATTCAGAACATTTTCAGTTACTATGCCATATATCCTCTGCACATCATCGCTACCTCACCGCTTCCATCGCGACTCGAGAGGGCAAGACAGGGCAGAGAATGGTGGAGGACAGAGCCAGAGCAAAAGAAACGCGAAGGTGAAAATGATCCTAAAGCTGGGGCTGGAGGAACAGTGGACAGAAGTGATGGGTTTATGTGAGAAACTGTGGTTTGACAACACACACACACACACCAGCCTCAGGTAATTTCTATTTATAATCTTACGACAAATTCCAATTTGATCACATTTCATTCACACGTGTTTCACATGTATGTGAATCCATGTTCTGGTGAATTTAACCACATCCCTAAAGGAGTTTAAGTCTACTGTGTCCTGAGCCATGTTCAAGTGATGCTGAACATCTGTCAGAAGCACCTGCAGCTGTTTGTGTAGATGGGCTCAGACTGTAATTATCAGTCTGTTTCAAACATGGAGGACGCCTTGTTGAGCACGTAGGAAACATAAAACAGTGAGTTTTATTAAAGGGACAATGCAGGTCTGCAGGCAGCATGTTGGCTTTCATATTATGTAGGACTTCTACGGGGTTAGATGTGCCAAAAAATAAATAAAAATAAATAAATAAATTAAACACACAAAAAAAGAACAAAAAAAAAAATTCTGACAGAAAATATACTACAACAAAACAAACAATTTTAAAGCTAAAACATTTAGTTTATAGCTAGATGTACTGCAGAAAACAAACAAATAACAACAAATCAATAAATTATACTACTATAAAAACATTTAGTTTTCCAACCAAATGTTTTATTTTGTTTGCAAATCAAACGTTTCATTTCTGGAACTGTTAATTGCTTTATCGTGTTTTATTTTGTTGGACTTTTAGTTTCCCGTTTGATTTTATTGGCACTAAAGTAACTCCATAGCCTGCAGAACAGAACTGGACTGGAACTGAACAGGTAATGCAAGTAAACCTTAATGTTTTTGTTGGAAGATATTCAAGTGGGTAGGAGATACACGATGTACAAGAACAGAAGAAGGTAGGTGGTTTTTTTTTGTCTGAAGCGGTGCAGAGTGACAAATTCTGGCAAGTGGAGGGAGAAATTTTATCCACCACTAGGTGCAAAGGCTGAGCCATGGGGTGGCTAATGGTGGTCTTGGCCATCATAGATTCTTCTTTGGCCAACAATATAAAAACTAGAAATCATAGTTTCCTCAAAATAATAGGGTGGTCGGTTTACATATATATTTATTTGGTGGCGGCCATCTTGGAGTTTGACATGGTAACCCAATTTTTGACAGTGACGTTTCTGACGCCTAGACACAGCCACACGCCAAATTAGAAGTTGGCACATTGCTAATTTTTCAAGTAATCCAGCTCACAAGATGGACTGACGGAGGGTAGTTGTAAGTCCCTTCTTTGCTACGCAAAGGAGAAAAAAAAGTGAATTGTGCAACAAAAAAAAAAAAGTTAATTTAGATCTATTAAAAACCTGTTATTTGATTTTTCTGTTTGTTCATTTATCATGGGCCTTGTTGTGTAAGTAACTATACTTTTTACAGAAACACAAAAAAAAATCAGTGGGCACATGATATCAGAAGATTACCAACTAAGTAATGTGGCTGTAATTTGCATTTAAAAGACAAGTATTGCCATCCTGTTTGAAGTTGGATTTTTAGAAAGATGAAAAACCTCTTTCTTGACCAGAAACCCTTGTGCCCACACTGCCTACAGCATGTCTGTCTGTAGTTACACTTCCGTGTCACTTTGCCTCTTGCAGTGCTTCAGCCTCCCTGTTGCTGTGCACAGAAAGAGCATCTCTTCCTTCTGAAGCTCTAACTGTGCGTCAGCCAGATCCAGTTAGACAAGCGCCCTGTTAAATAACTGAGGAGCTCAATGACCGAGCTGTTGCTCTCTGGGCTTTCTCATGACACGTTAGATGAAGTCTGACTCCTGACACCTAGTGGACGAGCGGCCAGGTGGGAACTTTTCAATCTGTGACCCGACATTCAGTTCTGGCAGAACGTTTGGGTGCGTTTAGACCTGCCAACACATCACTGACTGGTTGTAGGCAGCTGCTTTAAGAGGAACAAGTGTGTAGACAGCTTTAGTTGCGAGACACACAAAACTAATTGCATGCATGGCTGCAGCAAGTTAACCACGTTTCCAAAACGGTTTCTTTAGTGAAACACACCACACACTCATATTGTCATACCAGTCAGAGCCTTCAGTCCTGTTGGAAAGCACCACACAGCTCAATAAACAGCGCACACTAACCCTGATGCCATGATGTGGAGGCAAAAAATACATAGATGAAAACAGAAAATTAAAGCAGCATTTATCACAAACAGGATTTTACTTACAAAGTAAATATCTGCGACTGGGACATCATCGTCATCGTCCACTGAAGCCTGGCTGGTGCAGCCTGAGCCAGACACTTGGCTGGCCCCGTCTTCCTCCATCACCACCACACTGGGACTGAAGGGAGCTTCCTTGACCGGCTCGGATGAGGGGGGAGCAGCTGGAGCAGACGAGGAGGACGATGTGGCCTCGTGAGCGGACAAAGAGTCAGATGGTGCTGCCTCCTTTGTGCTAGTGTCTTCCTGGACGTCACTGTGGACATTTAGATGTGATTAGAGATGTTGTACGGAGTTAAGATGTGCTGATGGCTGTAGTTCTTCAGTGATGTCAATTAAGCTCAAAAGAAGCTCGACACAAACCACTTTGCTTCAGCATTGGGGGAGTGGTGGCGCAGAGGTTAGAGAAGGTGGGCTTGTGATCGGAAGATCGCCGGTTCAAGCCCGGGTACCGACAACATCAAAAATGTGGTGGGGTAGGTGAAGTGCCCACACCTGCCCCCACCCTCATTCGCCCCACTCTGGGCCCATGAGCAAGGCCCTTAACCCCCATCTGCTCCCTAAACAGGTCTCTCTTGAAAATGAGTTCTCATGGCTCAATGAGACTACCTGGATAAATAAAGGATAAATGGAAATGAAAATAATTGGATCAGGACTAAAACTGCTGGAGAAAACTCATTTTGACTACAATTTAGTAGCTGTGTGTGTGTGTGTGTGTGTGTGTGTGTTTGCACTGTAGACGGTTAAACTCAGGGATTCACCAGCTGGCTGACTTATTCAATTAATTATTAATTGCTTCTGTGTTGCTCTCAGCTTCTGCGTTTTGAACTTTAGTTTAGTTCAGTTGATTATTTTTGAATGCATAAACAAACAAACAAAAAATACAGCATGAAGCATAATGTCAAAACCTTTTGTTTTACATGTTCAAGGGAGTGAGTAGAATAAACTTATCAAAATTTCTTCTCCTTAGCCACTTACATAATCTTACATTTATTACATATATAATCCATACATGTAACAACTAACCCCATATTTAACCCATCAATATAGTATCTATTTAATTTCACTACAGTGGATGAACAATTATTATTTAACTTCACAAAAAAAACAACAAATAACAACCTAGCATCAATAACAGAAACGCCAACAATAATTGAATAATATTACCGGTACATATTATATCCAGCAATAATCATATGTTTATATGATAATTTGCACAGTTTTATGTTTGGACATTGTCTAAGTTCAATGTTCAAATTATTTCATAGTTTGACTCCACTTACTGATACACAAAAGTTTTTTCTAGTTCTGAATTTGCATATTTTAAACTGTAATTCCCCCTTTAACTTATAAATTTGCTCCTTAGTCTTAAACAGGTTTTGAATGTTTTCCGGTAATTGTTTATTTTTGGCTTTGTAAAGAATTAGAGCTGTCTGTAGTTTAACTATGTCAACGAACTTTAATAATTTAAATTTAACAAAGGGTGTATTAGTGCTTTCTAAATATCCCACCTTATGGATTACTCTTATTGCTACTTTTTTGTAGTATTGTTAATGCCTGTGGTGTAGTTTTATAATTATTGCCCCAGATTTCTGCACAATAACTTAAATAAGGTAAGATTAGCAAACAGTAAAGTACATGTAATGCTTTTTGTTCTATGACTGACTTGGCTTTGTTTAAGAGGGTGATATTTCTTGAGACTTTACTTTGAACATATCTGATGTTTTCCAGGTGAGTTCATCATCAATAAAGACACCTACAAATTTGTTTTCATGAACTCTTTCAATATTCACCCCATCTATTTGAATTTGATTTTCTGTATGTGATTGACAGTTCCCAAATAACGTTATTTTTGTTTTGTTTAGGTTCAAGGACAGCTTATTTTGCATAAAGAAAACGCCGGGGAGCTGCCCAGTGAAACAAAAGAAAGTGGACTTGGCACCCCAGAAGGCGAACTTATTGGGCGAGTAAATAAACGAGACAAGATGGCGACTGCCAGGCAGAAAACCCCTCTGCAACTCAAACTCCTGTCACCCAGTTATTCCCAGTTTTGGTTTTTAAATGCTGGTTTTTGTTTGCTCACCTTCTTTATGCATTTCTATTCCAATAATCCCCTTTCTTTTATCTTTATCCTGTCTCTGTCTTCTTTTAATCAGTTTTTTCTTCCCCTTCCCCACCCCCAACACGTATGTCTAGACACCTCCTTGTCAGCGTCAAACTTGATTATTCAGTTGGTTTCACTCGACAGCCATAACTCAAGCCTCCCTGACTTTACAGAACAATAAATGCAAGCTTCTTACAAGAGTCTGGCTCTGTTCAAATTTAGCTTCTATGCTTTAACTCCCAACACCCTATTCTTTTTTACTTGTATTTATTTCCATGAGAATATCTAAAAATCTGGTTGAATGTGCAAAATTTCAGGTCAAAGCAGCTGTGTGGGAGCAGATTCAAGCCTGCAGACGTCCTGGCCCACTGCCCCACTTTTATAAGCTGGTCCCCCCCCCCCCGCCTTCCCCGTAAATATCAGGATTTGTTTACATGCATGTATGCACTTATCTCATAACATCATTTACTGTAGATGTCTGACCTACACAGTGATCAGAATGTATTTGTTCATACCAAGGATGCACTCGGGCCAAAACACAAACAGGCAAAGCTGCTTTTAACGGAGTGTGTGAGACTAATACAGAAATAAATAATATTAAACTAAATGGACTTTATCTGTGAGTGGAATATGGACTGTTTTTCTCTTCTTTTGACAATATATGGAATTATTGTAGTCAACATCTTGTTCTCGTGTCATTTGTCTGAGATTTTGTGTTGTAATGATTGTAATATTTGTGTATTGTAATACTGGGGGGTCTGGACCTCAGGAACAATAGTCTCTAATACAGTAAAGACTAATGGAGATCCTTAAATAAAAACAAACAAAAAAAAAAAAGCAGCTGTTTGACACAAGGTGAGCCTCTCACACAGCTGCTTATGTCAGTGTTGCACCAGACGTCACAAGTGATTGTGCTTCTAAAGAGTGAACAACTTTTTCTAGCCTTCGGGATCACATAAGGAATTTATTTATGATTGTTAAAAATGTTTCAGAGCATTCTTCAGCATTTTATAATTTATATGCTGTTTAGTGTTTAAGCTTCAGCTCAGCTATTAACAGGAACTCGTAGGTTTGAGGACATTTCACCAGTTCTGTCCTCCCTTCACTGGCTCCCTGTGCACGTCAGAATTGATTTAAAAATTCTCCTGTTGACATTTAAGCATGAATGGCCTTGCACCCTCGTCTCTGACCTACTTCAACCATATGGTCCTTCTCAGGCGCTGAGATCAGCTGCTTTTGGTTGTACCAGAAACCAGGCTGAAGCTCAGAGGAGACTGTTCCAGAGTTTAGAACCCACTACTGAAAAAGCCCAATCTGCCCATCAACATTAGACAGGCCACTTCACTTCCTGCTTTTGAGGTCTTGTTTACACAACAACAATCCAATGAAAACAGATTTTTTTCTCAATTTTCTATTAACACATTTACATGAAAGCATTCTAATTACAATCTCTGTTTACACAGCAACGGCAGATGTGGAAAAGGTGTAATTCCCTTGCCACGCCACTAGTTGATGCTATGTTCTTTGAAATTTGAAACGCTTAAGTACTGTATGCGTAAAAAAACAAAAAAAAAAAAACGTTTTAACGTTTCTCTCACGAGAAAACCGCCATAACAAAAGACCAGGTGATGTCCAAACTGAAAACAGTCGGGGGAAATTAGATTTTTATGATTTATAAGAGTCAGAAGCACAAACAATACTCTTGTATATGCCATTGTCAATAGTTTCTTCTTCTGTGGATTGTAGGAAGCCATTATGTTTTGTGTCATACTGCGCATGAGCCAGGAATTCCCTGAAAGAAAATATCTAGAAGTCTTTCAGATGAAAGACAAAACGTTTCTACAATTTATTTATTTTTTTCTGAATGTCCAAAGGACCAGACTTAACTTTTTTTTTAATTTTTTTAGATTTTTCTACCTGGATTATTGAGCATACATCAGGATATCTATTTTTTCTGTTTACACGACAACGGACACCAGGAAGTTTTTGAACCATCGCACTCTGGAACCCGTTCTCAAATTGTGCCGTTGTCAGAGAAAACATTAGCTATTTTTGTGTAAATGATTAGTACAAACGCAACATAACTCTTCCATTTTCAACAGAAATAGTTTTTTGTGTAAACAGGGCTTAAATCTCCTAAAAACACACGTGTTTTCAATAACGTTTAGCACAGTATGATTTGATTATTTCATTGTTTCTCATTGGGTTTGTGCTTTTAAAAAAAATGCTTTTAATTACATCTTATTTTTATTTACTCTCTTGATCTTATTGTTAAGCACTTTGGTAACAGCTGCTGTTTTAAATTGTGCTTTATATATGAATTTGACAACATGACTAGTGTGTAATGACATTCAACAAATGGGAAAGAGGCCAAGTGATGCACCATTTTCTCAATCATTCTTTGTTTATGTTAATGTAGTTTGCTATGTTAGCAAAATATCCCGTAGACCACAGGACATTTTAGTGAAACTCAAAGAAATAAGTGAATGTACATTTACAATTGGTTAAGTTTTACAGGGGTGGCACGGTGGTGCAGTTGGTAGAGCTGTTGTCCATCAGTGAGAAGGTCGCCAGATCAAATCCCAGTCTGGGGGCCTTTCTGGGTGGAGTTTGCATGATCTCTCCGTGCATGCGTGGGTTTTCTCCAGGTACTCCGGTTTCCTCCAACAGACCAAAAACATGCATGTTAGGCTGACCGGTGACTCTAAATTGTCCCTAGGTGCGAGTGAGAGAGTGAATGGTTGTCTCATTCATCTCCATGTGTCCCTGTGATGGACTCGAGACCTGTCCAAGGTGTCCCCCCGTCTCTCACACATTTACTCCTGGGTATGGACACCAGTGACCCATGACCCGAAAAGGAAGAAGTGGATAAAGATAATGGATGGATAAGTTTTGCAGTCAGCCCAGTTTCAGACGGCCATCACTACTAATCAGCCTTAGCAAACATAAAAATGTCTAAATGTTTGTCCACTTTGTTGATTTTAGTTCAAATGTTGTGTGGTAGTAGCTGAGGGCAACCCCCAACATATACTCTAAACACTAACAAATCACACAGGATCTTTGTTCAAAACATTTGGCTACAATTGTTGAAGTCAACACCACCTAAATGTTAACAAAATATCTCATGATGTAGGGGTTCTAGTTTTTGTCCTGTCGTTGTTTCCTCATGCTTTCATTCACCTCTCAGTATTTTCCCTCCTTGTATTCAGCCCTCGACTCACCTGTGCTCAATGTTAAGCACCACAGGTGCTTGTTGTTTGTCCCAATCAGTGTGTGGATATATACAGCTCCTTTTGTATCTTGTCACTTGTCTTCGGATTGTCCTTCCATGGTGTCGTGTTCTGCCTTCCATCCCGTCTGCCTTGATTTGTGAGTAAGCTGCCCGGTCAGCCTTTTTGTTTCGTTAGTCTCCTGCTGCCTCCCTGCACGTGTGTTCAACACACCTGATGACAGATCCTGATACATGAACCAGTGAACTTAGGAAAACTCCCCAAAAATATTTGTTGGAAATACATCTACAACCAAATCAAACCAATTCAAGACCATCACAGCCAATGGATCATAGCAAACATACATGACTATAACTCGGTCAGTTTGTAGATATTGAGCTAAAATCTGATGAGATCTTATCTGAGAGTCATCCGACATCATATTTTGTGCTTTTTGGTTGTTTTGTGACAGTTTTAGTTCCTTTGGTTCATTGTTTTGTCCCCTTGTGTTTGGTTTCTCGTCCCATGTGTGCCACCAGCTGTACTTTCCTCTTACCACACCCATCTCACCTGTTTCCCATTTACATTAGTTGAAGCTGCAGCCATCTTCCTCATCAGCCCCAGGCTTTTTATTCCGCTTCTCACTTTTTGGTAGTTGATTGTTTTTTGTGTCATGTTCGGCCTTCCTTGTATTCCTTGTACTCCTCCTTGTGCGATTCTCCACAATTACTTTGCAAGTATGTTTTTGTTATCTCGCCAACCTTTTACTTTTATTAAAAATAAAGTTAATTTAATTTCTGAACTGTGCGTTCTTGGGTTTGGACCACCTGCTCACATGACATCCCCCACACATACTTTGAGGTCACAAGATTTTGTTATGTTGTATGAGATATTAAATAAGGTCGGCTTGTGATGTCCGGTTTGAACTTCTTTTAGTGCGTCTCAGTGCAAAGAGTATATTGAATAAACTATTTTAGTACAATGAGAAAATGTGAAACTAATAAAAATGCTCAACTAATTTACCAGTATATAAAATACCTACAGATGCATTTAAGTGCTGATGCTGTGAGTGAGCTAAATACACACCTTACATCAAAATAAACACCCGTGACTTCAAATTTAAAAGGTCTAGAAGTGTTAGTGAACCCTTAACAGAATGTTTTTCTGTAACAAAAATCAGCAAAGACCTATTGCTGGGAAGCTGCTTCACTTCCATAGCTATTTTATTAGTAATAGCAATGTTTTTACCACAGCAGCTGAAGGACACCAATGCTGACGCCAGCAAAGATGGATCTGAGCACATCACTTGTAAATAACTGAACAAACCGCAGGCTACGTCCTTCAAACCAAATTGCAGGGACACATTTAATTTCCCTGCAATCTGAACACAGCCTGTTTAAAATACATTAGATTTTTTTCTGCTATACTTATCCAAACAAATCGACTTATTTAAGCGTAATACAGCATCACACGTTTAAATTAACCATAACAAGAAGAGTTGGACTGTTTTCTGGAGTACCTTGTTACAGGTGAGGGCTGTGGAACAGAGATGGTGGGTTCACTGTCGGGTCTCTTCAACTCCACCTCCACAGTGATGGTCTGCTGATCCTCCTCACGCACACGCAACTCCTCTTGTGTCCTAAAAAAAGTAAAAACATACACTTGTATAAAGAAAAACACAGGAAATGAAACACACACACCTTAGTGAGAAGAAGGAGCTCACTCATGAACACACCAACTTCACTCTGCTCCCCACCCAACACAACCAGGCACGATTAATACTCAGAAAACATGGAAGAGTCAGAACTTTGTGATGTTCAGGGGTTCAGCTCAGGGTTCATGACTCAACTCACCTTCCGTCGTGGCTGAGTGACTGGGTGTGTCTCCTAAGGACAAAAAACCACTGTGAGGACAGGCTGGGAGTGAAGCAGCAGGACAAAAGCACAACATGTGCACGTCCCTGAGAGTTCACATTAAGTGCTGACACCAAAATGTCAAAAATGACTTGTTATAAGGGATTTCAAACAATGACCCGTTATATAAACAGAGCATCAGAATAAAGAAAACACTTGCAGAAACCCACTATGATGCATTTCACACTAACAGAACTAATAACATCAGTGTCTATTGGGATCTACTTCATATTTTTCCATTCATAATTATCAAACGGTACACACATACAGTAACTGTGAACACGGGCTCTATTTTTCAAATGTAATTTTTATACCAACACCAGTGCTTGTTTTTGTGGGTCTGTTACATTATTATGATTTTTTTCATTTAACAACCACTGATGAAAGGAGAACAATGTTTTGCCTGTGTCCTTGTATGTCTGTCTGTTAACAAAATATCTCATGAACCACTGGATGAATCGTAATAAAACTCCCAGAAAGTAATCATTTGATGCCTGTCCACAACTGAGTAACTTTTGGTGACAGCCTAATTCAATATGTCCACCACAGCCAACAGACTTTAGAAAACACAAACATGACTTTACAGTCAATTATAAAGAAATTGCGCAAATATTTGGTGTGTCAGTAGCTGAAAATTATAACATGTTCTGAGCATCACATCTTGAAATATCCCAAAGGATTGCACTTGTTTTAATTAAGGCTTAACCAAACAGCTGGAAACTTTATTTCTTGACATAGGATGATTTTGGACTAAAACTCGAGCATGAAAGGCACAGCATGATGGACTTCTTAAACAAATGTTAGGCATTTATTTAAAAGTCTGTTAATCATTCTATATATTCGAGTATTTTGACCACAAACCAATGGAAGCTTCCGAGATGAAAGTTAGTAATGTCATTGCTCCTTTTAGTATTTTGCTGGAAACCAAATGCAAAAGCCCCCCTGCGTGATGGTGACTGTACATGTAACTGCATGTCAGAAAAAAACTATTAAATCGATAAAAAAGGCAAACTCCACCATTAGAATAACAGAAAAGGGCTAATCAAGTGGCTGAAGTGAGAATACTAAGTAATATAAATGCCATCTTAAATACAACAGGTACACAGTTTATGCCCTGGAGGCGTTTCGTCAGAGCATCTTCAGCTGATTGCGCCGAGGGGCAAGACTTAATGTTAGAGAAGGTCTTTCTAGCCAGCTGCCATCAAGCTCTATAATGAGTAATATTAAATGTATATCCATTATGTACTAAATGTATACTACTATGTGTACCCCTACATTTTGGTTCAGCGTATTTTTACTACATTATATTTTATAGGTTTTTTTTGTTGCTGTTGTCTGTGTGTCACATAACTGCTGCAGCTGTGAGCCTGTAATTTCCTGCAAAGGATCAAGTATCCAGACATCTTTCCATAAGTACTGTACCCTCTCTGTGCCTGACAACTGAGGGTCTTTTTGTCCGACGGGAAAGGGTTGTTAGTATGTGAGCTAGTACCTGTAGCGCGGGTGCTCGGCCGTGTCGGAAGGCGATCTTTCGGGAATGGACAAAGAGGTTGTGGAAGAGAGAGTGGTGGCAATAGATGCTGTTGTGGCCTCCTCAAATGATGGAGGAGTACATGGAAGAAGATCAGGTCGCCCTGAGAGGAACAGACAGAAAAGATCAGTCATCTTGAGGTTTCTTTTTACATTTTTTACTACTTATTTATTCCATGATGCATGAATGAATTCCGTTTATTATGATAGAAGCCGATTGTTGACTAATGACAACTTGCAACAAAGCGTACAAGCTTGCAAAAATAATCTCAAAATGCAATAAAATAATGATGAACTTTGAGTCCATCTGATCTAGAACACTTTAAATATAGAGTTTTTACCCTCATCTTCCAGCGTTGGGAAGCTGTGGGCTCCTCTTAGGTCATAGATGTTCTCGTCTCTCTCACAGGGCAGCTGGCTAACAGACCAGGCAGCACCAGGACCAGCACATTTAGGCACCGTCAATGACACGCGACCCTTCTTGGATGGAGAGGACTTCAGAGCTGAGGCACAGTGTGCAGAAACACGATCAGAAAGAGTAAACTCACTAATGGATTCAATGCAGTACGTTGTGCTGCAAGAAAAACAAAATCAACATGCTTTAAACTTCTGCATTTGCCAAAGCATCACTAGAAGAGTTAAATGATGTGCTTTTTGGCTAAAAATGATTTTTTAAAATTAATAGTTTTATAAGTAATATATATAACCACTTTAAAATCTTTAGAATCCCAACCAATACTTCATTCTGTTGAACTCAAGTGGAATAAAGACACTTGGAAAGCTCTGCACTTCGAAAAAGGCTGAAGCACATTTTCCAAATATGTATGTGTGAAAAGAACAAGCAAAGAGGTGTAACCAACATTTTCCCCTAATAAGGCTTTTAGCTACTCAATTTGATTTTCCTATAAAGGCTCGGCAATAAAAAAGACCAAAACATGACCTTTGACTTTTGTGCCTCTCCCCATACCACTCTGTGTGACTATGTAAGGCAGTGTCTGGGTGTAAAATAAACTCACAGGAGCTCTTCTTGAAAACCGTGCTGCTCATAAACTTGAAGAACCTGTCAGCATAGAAGCCTGGGCGGTGGACTGATACGGTATCCTGAGAGGAAGGAGGCGAGATTAATAAGACAAATGGTGCACGAAAAAGAAAAAAGATCAAACAGGTGTTTGGAGTCGATTAAACTGTATATTAGCTCCCTTAGTGTCACATTTCACCGGTTCAACCTGAGTATCAGAGGCAAATTACGTACAGAAACAAGGTCATTTGAGGTAACAAACTCTTGGCTTCATTAATTATGCAAAAACAGACTGAGAAAAGACTGCCAGAAGGTTGACAGATGACGCTCGACATTTGGTTGAGAGTAACAGAGGACAGGTGAGGACTGAGGGAGACCAAGGAAGTGTAAACACAGCACCACAGTTTTCTGTTTTTGTACTACAGCCTCTCTGCTGCTCCATATTAGAGTGTCTGTTGGGTTTAAAGGCAGAGTGTCGTGAATCCATTATAGTCAGAGAAGCACAGTACCATAAGCTGTTTGCTCTCCTATAAATATATTGAGAATTTGTATACATTTAAGTGTGTGCCAGTATTGTATGGTATGCATTCCATATGTACCATATATACATACATACAGGCACGCACACACATATGTACGGTATGTATGAATGTATCTATCTTTCTATCTATCACATATATAAATATAAATGTATATGTATATATATATACATATATATACATACATATATACATATATATACATCTATACATATATAGATATATATATACATACATATATACATATATAAATATATATATATATATATACATATATATACACATACATATATATACACATACATATATACATATATATACATACATATATACACACATACATATATACATATATATACATACATATATACATATACATACATATATACATATACATATGTATACATATATACATATACATACATATATACATATACATATGTATACATACATATATACAT